TTTTGGGGGTTATGGTACCAACAGTTAAGGAATTAGGGGCCAAAAAGGGGCCAAAAATAAGCATTTTTGTAACTTCCAGACATAACTTGTGTGTTAGTATATGGATCTCTCTGACATTGTACCACAAGGTTCCATATCACAAATGGAATGCTGGGATTGATTTTGGGGGTAATTGCCTCAAAATATTAGGGGCCAAAAAAGGGGCAAAAAACAAGCATTTTTCTAGTTTCATGACAATAACTTGTGTGTAAGTGTATGGATCTTTCTGAAATTGTACTACAAGGTTCCATATCACAAAGGGAAAGCTGGAATTGAGTTTGGGGGTAATTGCCCGAAACGTTTAGGAATTGGGGGCCAAAAAGGGGCCAAAAATAAGCATTTTTCTAGTTTCCAGACAATAACTTGTATTCAAGTGTATGGATCTCTCTGAAATTGTACTGCAAGGTACCATACCACAAAGGGAAGGCTGGGATTGAGTTTTGGGGTGATGAAGGGGGTTCAAAAAATTTGGGGGGGGGGGGGGGGGATATTTTTTTTTTTCCATTTTAAGTTGGTTATTTCTGATTTATATTTAAAAGCAAATAATAATGATATGGTAGGAGATACACACCAAACAGGATGTGTAAATTGTTATATAATAAGTATTGTGCAATAGCAAGAAATTTTCAATTGCACAGTATTGCACAATAGCAAGAAATCTTCAATTGCACAGTATTGCGCAATAGCAAGAAATCTTCAATTGCACAGTATTGCGCAATAGCAAGAAATATCCAATAGCACAATATTGTGCAATAGCAAGAAATTGTCAATTGTGTAGTATTGCGCAATAGCAAGAAATATTCATTTGCACAGTATTGTGCAAAAGAAGATACTTTGTATAAATTGCTTATTTCTTGACCAATTTCAATGGGGTTTTATTCTTGAATTCTTGGGGTTCTTTAATATGCTGAATCTAACCGTGTATTAAGTTTTTGGATTTTGGGCCCCGTTTTTAAATTGGTCCACATTGAGGTCCAAAGGGTCCAAAATTAAACTTTGTTTGATTTCATCAGAAATTGAATTATTGGGGTTCTTTGATATGCCGAATCTAACCGTGTATTTAGATTCTTAATTTTTGGTTCCGTTTTCAAATTGGTCTACATTAAGGTCCAAAGGGTCCAAAATTAAACTAAGTTTGATTTTAAAAAAAAATTAATTCTTAGGGTTCTTTGATATGCTGAATCTAAACATGTATTTAGATTTTTTATTATGGGCCCAGTTTTCAAGTTGGTCCAAATCGGGGTCCAAAATTAAACTTTGTTTGATTTCAACAAAAATTGAATATATGGGGTTCTTTGATATGCTGAATCTAACCATGTATTTAGATTTTTGATTTTTGGGCCCTGTTATCAACTTTGTCCACATTGAGGTCAAAAGGGTCCAAAATTAAACTTTGTTTAATTTCATCAAAAATTGAATTCTTGGGGTTCTTTGATATGCTGAATCTAACCATGTATTTAGATTTTGGATATTGGACCATAATAGGTGAATGTCCAATTTAAAATTTTTAAGTTCTTAGACCACATTTATTCTGTGTCAGAAACCTATGCTGTGTCAAATATTTAATCACAATCCAAATTCAGAGCTGTATCAAGCTTGAATGTTGTGTCCATACTTGCCCCAACTGTTCAGGGTTCGACCTCTGCGGTCGTATCAAGCTGCGCCCTGCGGAGCATTTTATTTTTAGTTGTAATCTCTGTCCTGCCTTTTTATTTTCTACTCTATTCGGTCCTGCCTTTTTTTTTACTAGTTTATCCTGACTTTTTTTTCACAAATTGTCATCCTGCCTTTTTTTTTACTCAAAACTCCTGTCCTGCCTATTTTTTTCAAATTTCATCCTAGCCCTCCCCCCCATAAAAATCAAATGGTAGCTCCTTAAATTGAATCTCTGGTGTATCATGTTCAAGAATTAAATTAGTAAATTATCATACAATCCTTCAGTAAACAGTACTAAACTATGATTATATTCATAGTAATGTAATTTAAAGAATTTTTATAAACAAACTTTTCTTCTGTTTTTTATACGACCGCAAAAATTGAAAATTTTTTGGTCGTATATTGGTATGACGTTGGCGTCGTCGTCGTCGTCGTCGTCGTCGTCGTCGTCCGGCGTCGTCTGGCGTCGTCCGAAGACACATTGGTTTTCGCACTCTAACTTTAGTTTAAGTGAATGGATCTCCATGAAATTTTACCATAAGGTTCAATACCATGAAAGGAAGGTTGGGATTGATTTTGGGGGTTATGGTACCAACAGTTAAGGAATTAGGGGCCAAAAAGGGGCCAACAATAAGCATTTTTGTAACTTCCAGACAATAACTTGTGTGTAAGTGTATGGATCTCTCTGACATTGTACCACAAGGTTCCATATCACAAAGGGAAGGCTGTAATTGATTTTGGGGGTAATTGCCTCAAAATGTTAGGAATTAGGGGCCAAAAAAGGGGCAAAAAACAAGCATTTTTCTAGTTTCATGACAATAACTTGTGTGTAAGTGTTTGGATATTTCTGAAATTGTACTACAAGGTTCCATATCACAAAGGGAAAGCTGGAATTGAGTTTGGGGGTAATTGCCCGAAATGTTTAGGAATTGGGGGCCAAAAAGGGGCCAAAAATAAGCATTTTTCTAGTTTCCAGACAATAACTTGTGTTCAAGTGTATGGATCTCTCTGAAATTGTACTGCAAGGTACCATACCACAAAGGGAAGGCTGAGATTGAGTTTGGGGGTGATGAATCATAAGGGGGTTCAAAAATTTTGGGGGGGGATTTTTTTTTTCTTTTTTTTTTTCTTTTTTTCCTTTTTTTTTTCTTTTAAAAGTTTCCATTTTAAGTTGGTTATTTCTGATTAATATTTAAAAGCAAATAATAATGATATCGTAGGAGATACACACCAAACAGGATGTGTAAATTATTATATAATAAGTATTGTGCAATAGCAAGAAATTTTCAATTGCACAGTATTGCACAATAGCAAGAAATCTTCAATTGCACAGTATTGCGCAATAGCAAGAAATCTTCAATTGCACAGTATTGCGCAATAGCAAGAAATATCCAATAGCACAATATTGCGCAATAGCAAGAAATTGTCAATTGTACAGTATTGCGCAATAGCAAGGAATAATCAATTGCACAGTATTGTGCAAAAGAAGATACTTCGTATAAATTGCTTATTTCTTGATCAATTTCAATGGGGTTTTATTCTTGAATTCTTGGGGTTCTTTAATATGCTGAATCTAACTGTGTATTAAGTTTTTGGATTTTGGGCCCCGTTTTTAAATTGGTCCACATTGAGGTCCAAAGAGTCCAAAATTTAACTTTGTTTGATTTCATCAAAAATTGAATTATTGGGGTTCTTTGATATGCCGAATCTAACCGTGTATTTAGATTCTTAATTTTTGGTTCTGTTTTCAAATTGGTCTACATAAAGGTCCAAAGGGTCCAAAATTAAACTTAGTTTGATTTCAACAAAAATTGAATATATGGGGTTCTTTGATATGCTGAATCTAACCATGTATTTAGATTTTTGATTATGGGCCCAGTTTTCAAGTTGGTCCAAATCGGGGTCCAAAATTAAACTTTGTTTGATTTCAACAAAAATTGAATATATGGGGTTCTTTGATATGCTGAATCTAACCATGTATTTAGATTTTTGATTATGGGCCCAGTTTTCAAGTTGGTCCAAATCGGGGTCCAAAATTAAACTTTGTTTGATTTCAACAAAAATGAATATATGGGGTTCTTTGATATGCTGAATCTAACAGTGTATTTAGATTTTTGATTGTTGGGCCCCGTTATCAACTTTGTCCACATTGAGATCAAAAGGGTTCAAAATTAAACTTTGTTTGATTTCATCAAAAATTGAATATATGGGGTTCTTTGATATGCTGAATCTAACCATGTATTTAGATTTTTGATTATGGGCCCAGTTTTCAAGTTGGTCCAAATCGGGGTCCAAAATTAAACTTTGTTTGATTTCAACAAAAATTGAATATATGGGGTTCTTTGATATGCTGAATCTAACCATGTATTTAGATTTTTGATTATGGGCCCAGTTTTCAAGTTGGTCCAAATCGGGGTCCAAAATTAAACTTTGTTTGATTTCAACAAAAATTGAATATATGGGGTTCTGTAATATGCTGAATCTAACCATCTATTAAGTTTTTGGATTTTGGGCCCCGTTTTTAAATTGGTCCACATTGAAGTCCAAAGGGTCCAAAATTTAACTTTGTTTGATTTCATCAAAAATTGAATTATTGGGGTTCTTTGATATGCCGAATCTAACCGTGTATTTAGATTCTTAATTTTTGGTTCCGTTTTCAAATTGGTCTACATAAAGGTCCAAAGGGTCCAAAATTAAACTTAGTTTGATTTTAACAAAAATTGAATTTTTAGGGTTCTTTGATATGCTGAATCTAAACATGTATTTAGATTTTTGATTATGGGCCCAGTTTTCAAGTTGGTCCAAATCGGGGTCCAAAATTAAACTTTGTTTGATTTCAACAAAAATTGAATATATGGGGTTCTTTGATATGCTGAATCTAACCATGTATTTAGATTTTTGATTTTTGGGCCCTGTTATCATTTTTGTCCACATTGAGATCAAAAGGGTCCAAAATTAAACTTTGTTTGATTTCATCAAAAATTGAATTCTTGGGGACCTTTGATATGCTGAATCTAACCATGTATTTAGATTTTGGATATTGGACCATAATAGGTGAATGTCCAATTTAAAATTTTTAAGTTCTTAGACCACATTCATTCTGTGTCAGAAACCTATACTGTGTCAAATATTTAATCACAATCCAAATTCAGAGCTGTATCAAGCTTGAATGTTGTGTCCATACTTGCCCCAACTGTTCAGGGTTCGACCTCTGCGGTCGTATCAAGCTGCGCCCTGCGGAGCATTTTATTTACTCTTATATATACATGTACATGTATACTTTTATTATTTGATGTTATATTCAGATGTTCCAGATTCTAAAACCTTTGATGTGACCCTGATGACAACATTACTGAGGAATTTAACTCCTATGACTCCTCCTCTTTGTGGATTTGAACGTTTACCTACTGCCATCGAAACTACAACAGCTGCAGATTTAGCAAGAATCAATCACTACAGGAATTACCTGGGTCATCTGGATGATGGCAAAATAGACAGTGATTTCTTTAACATGGCATGGAATGATATAACTAGTGTATGTATATCAATTTTTCCTTTCACTGATTTAAGGGAAACCTGGCATTTGGAACAAAATTACAAGAAAACCAAATTCAAAATATTGCATCATAAACACATTTATAAAAAAAATTCTTATCAGTTATTGGTTGGTTTAAAAATTTTGTCTTATCTATGAAATAGCCAATTCACCATTTCATAATCTAATACATTAACATGATTAATGCAATCTAAATCTTGAATGACTATTTTTACCCATTTGGTCATTGTATGAATTTTTTGCAGACACAAGTATAGATAAAGTATAGATAAAGAGCAACAATATATAGCAGTATTTATTCGAAATGATCAGAAAATAAGTCAACATGGTTAAAAACGTCAATTGACCCCGGAGAGGAGTTATTGTCCATTGTTGTCCTAGTAAGATGATTTTTTTTTCCATTTTTGCAGTTCTTGCACAAACTATCATTGACAGAGCGAAACAGCTACAGTCATAATGTTGAGTGCCATTAGATCTAAAAATCAGTCGTATTGGCCAAAATTGTAAACCTACTTCTTCATGTTCTCAACTTCTAGAAGTTATTTTCCCTAAATGATGGTTTTTGACTCACGTCAACGAAAAAGTTAGACATCGACATGCTATTTCTGGTGGTGGCTTCTCCAACAATGTATTAGTTTGTGATAAGGTCAGTTTATCAAATGTTTATGGGGAACCACTAATGGTAGGTCAATGATATTTGGTACACAGTTGTATAATAAGCATTGGCACATCTCATTCCCATGTAGATTATTTAGCCCAGTCCCATCAGTAATGGTCTATCGACTTTGAAACTTTGCCTAGTTTTTGACTCACTTCAACATAAAAGTGAGACATCGACATGCTGTTTCCGGTGCAGGCTTCTGCAACAATGTATCAGTTTGTGATATGGTCAGTTTATAGGGAACCACTAGTGGTAGGTCAATGATATTTGGTATGCAGATGTATAGGCGATGGCACATCTCATTCCCATGGAGATAATTTGCAACCCCGCCTCAGTCATGGTTCATGGACTTTGAATGACTTGCATAGTTTTCATGTTTAAATATTTCATTTTGATTTCAACATTTGCATTATTCTATCAAAATTACATAGCACGAGACATATGTCTGTATCAACAGTTTATTATCTTTTTTAGCTCTTTTTAAGAGAAACTTCAAAAAAAAAAAGATCATCAGAACAAGACCTACAAAAATGCCACTAAATAACATGAATAAGATTTGCAAATAACATGAATAAGAAAACATAACTGATTGCAGTAAAGGAAAAAAAATATTTCAAAATGGCATTCTTTTACCAGGGTAGCAATTCAGGCTATTGCATGTATTGTGTAAAATAAGTACTGGCATCAAAGAAATTGAATGCATATGCCATTGTATGCTGTTGATATAAAACATAATTTTTATATGGTATCAAGTTTGGTGATTGGGTAAGATTTTGTTGCATTTTTCCTTGTTTTACTTATTTTCTTTTATCAAAGTAACTTAAAAGGACACGGTATAATGAAGGTCAATGTTGGCCCCCTCTTTAAATAACATCATATTGATTTCATCATTAGTTTATGGGTAGAGACTTACAAAAATGTTTTTTTATATTATTAGGGCCCGCCTAATGGCGGCTCGCCCTATAGTGATCAGTCTGTCCGTCCGTAACAAATTGTGTCCGCTCTACATGCTCTATATCTAGAGAACCGTTATAATTTCATACTTTATACTTGACATGTATATTAACCAGAGGGTGTGTCGTAATGTTTGTACAACTTCCTAGGTCAAAGGTCAAGGTCAAAAACTTTGGTTTTAGTTGACAACCCCATGACCTATGGTAAAGATCGTGTCCGCTCTATATCTTGAGAACCGTTATGATTTCAAAGTTTATACTTGACATGTATATTAACAAACACCAGAGGGTGTGTCATAATGTATGTACAACTTCCTAGGTCAAAAACTTTGGTTTCAGTTGACAATCCTATGTCCTATGGTAAAGATCGTGTCCGCTCTATATTTTGAGAACCGTTATGATTTCAAAGTTTATATTTGACATGTATATTAACCAACACCAGAGGTTGTGTCATAATGTATGTACAACTTCCTAGGTCAAAGGTCAAAGTCAAAAACTTTGGTTTCAGTTGACAACCCCATGTCCTAATTGGTAAAGATACAAATTTTTTACCACATGTTATTCACAGAGGGGCCCACAGAGATGGCTCCCACCTCAATGATATCTAGTTGATTTTGGGATTCAAACACTCATTGTGCTAGGAAAACTTTTGTCAAACTTGGCTTCTTTTGAAGGAAATAATTTGATATTGGGTTTGCAGCTTCATAATGTTGTGTAACTTGAGTTGTAGCGAGTATGCAATTTTTACATCCACGGTTCAGCCACTATCTGTTTGCTAATAGTTAGAAATTTTACAGCGCTCATTGTATAAGATAAATTTCGTCAAAATTTTCTTTGCTCGTATTGAAAGAAATAATTTAATTTTTGTCTGCAACTTGATTATGTTCAGTTGTAAATGAGTATTTAATTAGGGCCCCGCTGAATGGCAGCTCGCCCTATAGTGATCAGTCTGTCCGTCCGTCCGTAACAAATTGTGTCCGCTCTATATCTAGAGAACCGTTATAATTTCATACTTTATACTTGACATGTATATTAACCAGAGGGTGTGTCGTAATGTTTGTACAACTTCCTAGGTCAAAGGTCAAGGTCAAAAACTTTGGTTTCAGTTGACAACCCTATGACCTATGGTAAAGATTGTGTCCGCTCTATATCTTGAGAACCATTATGATTTCAAAGTTTATACTTGACATGTATATTAACAAACACCAGAGTGTGTGTCATAATGTATGTACAACTTCCTAGGTCAAAAACTTTGGTTTCAGTTGACAATCCTATGTCCTATGATAAAGATCGTGTCCGCTCTATATTTTGAGAACCGTTATGATTTCAGAGTTTATATTTGAAATGTATATTAACCAACACCAGAGGTTGTGTCATAATCTATGTACAACTTCCTAGGTCAAAGGTCAAAGTCAAAAACTTTGGTTTCAGTTGACAACCCCATGTCCTATGGTAAAGATACAAATTTTTTACCACACGTTATTCACAGAGGGGCCCACAGAGATGGCTCCTACCTCAATGATATCTAGTTGATTTTGGGATTCAAACACTCATTGTGCTAGGAAAACTTTTGTCAAACTTGGCTTCTTTTGAAGGAAATAATTTAATATTGGGTTTGCAGCTTCATAATGTTGTGTAACTTGAGTTGTAGCGAGTATGCAATTTTAACATCCACGGTTCAGCCACTTTCTGTTTGCTAATAGTTTGAAATTTTACAGCGCTCATTGTATAAGATAAATTTCGTCAAAATTTTCTTTGCTCGTATTGAAAGAAATAATTTAATTTTTGTCTGCAACTTGATTATGTTCAGTTGTAAATGAGTATTTAATTAGGGCCCCGCTGAATGACGGCTCGCCCTATAGTGATCAGTCTGTCCGTCCGTCCGTAACAAATTGTGTCCGCTCTATATCTAGAGAACCGTTATAATTTCATACTTTATATTTGACATGTATATTAACCAACACCAGAGGGTGTGGCATTATGTTTGTACAACTTCCTAGGTCAAAGGTCAAGGTCAAAAACTTTGGTTTCGGTTGACAACCCCATGTCCTATGGTAAAGATCGTGTCTGCTCTATATCTTGAGAACAGTTATGATTTCAAAGTTTATACTTGACATGTATATTAACAAACACCAGAGGGTGTGTCATAATGTATGTACAACTTCTAGGTCAAAGGTCAAGGTCAAAAACTTTGGTTTCAGTTGACAACCCCATGTCCTATGGTAAAGATCGTGTCCGCTCTATATCTAGAGAACCGTTATAATTTCATACTTTATATTTGACATGTATATTAACCAGAGGGTGTGTCGTAATGTATGTACAATTTTCTAGGTCAAAGGTCAAGGTCAAAAACTTTGGTTTCAGTTGACAACCCCATGTCCTATGGTAAAGATTGTGTCCACTCTATATCTTGAGAACCGTTATGATTTCAAAGTTTATACTTGACATGTATATTAACCAACACCAGAGGGTGTGTCAAAATGTATGTACAACTTCCTAAGTCAAAGGTCAAAGTCAAAAACTTTGGTTTCAGTTGACAACCCCATGTCCTATGGTAAAGATACAAATTTTTTACCACACGTTATTCACAGCGCTTGCGGGGCCCACAGAGATGGCTCCCATCTCATAATGTCTAGTTTTTGCATCTTCCATGCAGCCACTTAAGCTTCCTGTTTGCTAAAATTTTGAAATTTTATAACACTTAGACATCATGCTCATTATACAAGACCTGATAATAGTTGTGTTTTAATCTTGGTTTAATGATTTATGATAACCAACACATACAAATACCTTAGTGATACTCGAGTCTGAGTTTAATATTGCTAGAACAGATGCAAACGCTCTGATTTTCATAAAATTTACGTATTACAGGAAACAGAGAGGGGCTTTTAACAATTCTAACTTGCCGAAAAAGAAAGTAACCTTCATTTTTCATCCTTTGTATTTTTTCAATATTTAAATTGATGGTTTTCCCCTCCCTTTGAAATCAATGATAATATATTAATATTTTTTCTATGCCCCCGCCGTAGCAGAGGGGGCATTAAGTTTAAAACCCTTGTCCGTACGTCCCAAAATTGGTTTCCGTTCTCTAACATAAGTTTGCCTCAACCAAATGTTATGAAACTTATACAAAATGCTTATTACCGCAAAACACAGATCAAGGTTGAATTTTGGTGGCGTCACTTTAAACGTTCTAGAGTTCTGCCCTTTACAAATGGATATATTGCTGATTTTCGTTTCTGTTCTCTAACTTAAGTTAGACTCAACCAAATGTTATAAAACTTATACACAATGCTTATTACCACAAAATACAGATCAAGTTTCAATTTTGGTGGTGTCGCTTTTACTGTTCTAGAGTTATGCTCCTTTACAAATGTCCATTTATAACTTCATATGATATGCAAACGGGGGCATCATCTGTGTCCCATGGACACATTTCCAATTTATTTATTTTTTAAACTGCACATATAAGGAATGCTGTCTAAAAGATTGTGTGAGAAGTTAAACAATTAGTGTTTCTTCATAATCCTGGTATCGTAAGACAATGTAAGAGTCTGAAAGCAAATTCCCTTTTGAACCCGCAAGTTTTATTAAAGTCATCAAGTATGGCTAAAAGTATATTGTGTACTTCTATGAGATTAAAGTGATTATCAATCTAACTTTTACAGGCCATTGAAAGATTAGGTGGTCAGCAAATGAAGCAGGAGTGTGATTATATGAAAACCAAACCTTTAGATCAAACCAAACCTTTAGATCAAACCAAACAAGAAATAATGATGGACATGAAGCATTCAAATAATGAAATTCAGGAGCTAAAAGAATCATTTGAAAGTCTGAAGCTGTCTCATACTGAAATTATAAAATCCCATGAATTACTTCAAGAAAACCATGCAGTTGTGACAAAAGAAATGGAAGAAATAAAGATCTCCCAGAAGGATACTATACCTAGGAATATTAGAGGTAAACTGTTGGGTGGCTTACCTGGGGTACACTACAGCCAAGCTGGAATATTTACTCTTATTCCCCAATTCCATGATGGACACTAATTTTCTTTTGCAGATATCTATGATTGACACAATTAAACAAGAGCGACATATGTCACCATAACATTTTCATCATAGATTCTCGATGACAGACAAAGGAAGTTTTTACTGTTATACTCCTACCATTTCTTCTTGGTTTTATGCTGCATGGCCAATATAAAAAAGAAGATGTGGTATGATTGCCAATGAGACAACTCTTCACAAGAGACCAAATGACACAGAAATTAACAACTATAGGTCACCGTACGGCCTTCAACAATGTGCTAGTTCATTACAAAACATGTGCTTAGAAAGAATGAACATAGTCATAGATACCATGATCATGATCAGTAAAGCAGGCTAGACTGTTTAGAGTTAACACTCTTGTTTTTATATTTGGTCACTTATTTTTTAGTTTCTGTTTAAAATTTACACTCTCGTTTTTATATTTGGTCTTTTTTTTTTTTTTTTTTTTTTTTTTCAATACAAAAATTAGGAACAACTATTTAGGTACATGTACCAATGAGATACACATGCAAATTTGTATGCTCTGTCAGATGTCAGTAACCCTATAATACAAACTTGTCAAGGCCAAAACTTTATTTTCTTTAACATTGACTTATGATATGTGATACTTGGTTTGAAGGTGTATTACTTTAAGACTGTACAGTGTTCCAGCTAGGTGGTTTTCACAGGGCGGTCCGCCCGCCCTTTCCCGAGTGCCGCCCTGTGCTTTTTTTCTGACGCCCTGTGCCCTTTTTAAGACGCCCTGCCCTTTTTCGTAAGTCCATGCCTTTATTGCCGTAATATTTTGATGAAGTTACAATTATTCTACCTGTCTTTATATATTTATGACAAGTTTTTGACCCTCGATCAGCTAAATAACATTTACAGCAGGTGTAATAAGTTGTGATTACAGATAATCCGCTTATCGACATCGGATGGGTCATTAATCCGTTAATTAAACTTCATAATTGACCATTGTAATAATTTTTCTCATTAAATTCGGTCAGTCAGCATTTCAATTTCAATATTTCTCAAAGGATGACAATTTGCGTTTGATGTATCCGTAGATCGTCTGTTGTTTATATGTCAAAGATTTTTTTTTAAATTGATCTTTTAAACTAGTTTTAATCCAGAAGAAAGTAAAAACAATGCTTGACTGTACCTTTCATTGAATATCTATATCCAAATTAAATTAATTAAAACTGTAATTCATGATCACAAATTGACTGCTTTGTTTACATTTGTTGAAAGCCATGTGCTTTTTTGGCGGGAAAATTCGGAAAACCCCTTTAACAAGAAACAGTTACATTTCATTGTTATTTATAGACAGTAAGATTTTCATTCTGATTAACTGCTGAGATTATTTCATTAAAAAATGAATACTTTCTTGGGGTGAAACTGATAATACTTTAATACTCTACATCTAGGGGTGTGTAAAATGGAAAAGGGGGGGGATGGATTTTTCATATATAATATTACAAATATAAGTTTAACAGTCTGAAAAGACATGGTTAAATGGATTTTAATTCTGAAAAACTCAATGTGGTTTACTGTAAATTCAGAAATTATTGCGTGCATTTATTATTGCGATTTTGTCATTTTAGACTAAAATGCGATTATAATTTTTGCGATATTGAGAAAATTCCTGTTTAATTCATATAAAAAATTTCAAAATGCGAGTTTAAATTATTGCGATATAACCCTGTCGCATTTTTCGCAATATTAAAAACATCGCAATAATTTCTGAATTTACAGTATTATAATTCATTTATTATTTCTATTATAATCAGAAACACTGGGCTACATTATTGCCTTTATAAGAACATTCAAGACTATTAATAAGTATGTACCTGTAGTAAAAAATACCCTGGTAGGGTCTTAAAATTTCTACTGGGCCCTTGGAAAAAAGTTTTGGGATCCAGGTTGGCCCCTGGAGAAAATGTTAGGTTTTGTTCCTGACTGTATTGCATATCTAGTGTAGTATTTTAACTGACATGCACAATTCATTTCACTAATGAAATAAAAATAATTCTACAAAACGCCGCTGTGCTCTGCATTGCAACTTAACCTTATAGACCTACCATGCATCAAAAATGTTCAAGGGAAGAATGAGCTAGTAATATACGTCCTTGCATGGTCCCTTTAATACTGTTACCCAAAATAAGGTTGATTTTCATCTAGCGTAAAAGTGACTAAACCCCCTCAAAACTCTTAGCTGAAACCCCTGCAGTTAACATAAGACAATGTTTGACATGCCCTTTTTGAAATATCAATCATCGTGCTAAAGTGCCCTTTTCATGATTGGCTCCCTACCCTTTTGAAATCCTAGCTGTAACACTGACTGTACATGTGTGTAATGTGTTGTTATGACCTTTATGTGATCTTGACATTTGGTCTAAATGTTGCATGCCATACCATGGAAGATACCCTTTGACCTTGACAGGTTCAACTCAAGGTCAAACAATTAATTTAAGGTACCCCAAAACAGTGTATTTTCATGTCAATTTATACGACCGCAAAAAATTTGTGTTCATCTTATGCTATCATGTCGGCCGCGTCTGCGTCGTCGTCTGAAAACACATTTGGTTTCCAGACAATAACTTTAGTTTAAGTGAATGGATCTCTATGAAATTTTACCAAAAGGTTTAATACCACAGAAGGAAGGTTGGGATTGATTTTGGGGATTATGGTACCAACAGTGTAGGAATAAGGGGCCAAAAACTAGCATTTTTGTAGTTTCCGGACAATAACTTGTGTGTAAGTGTATGCATCTCTCTGAAATTGTACCACAAGGTTCCATATCACAAAGGGAAGGCTTGGATTGATTTTTGGGGTAATTGCCCGAAACTTACAGGAATAAGGGGCAAAAAAAAGGCCAAAAACAAGCATTTTTAGCTCACCGTGGCCCCGAAGGGCCCCATGTGAGCTTATGCCATCACTTGGCGTCCTCTGTTGTCGTCTGTCGTCGTAAACTATTTCAAAAATCTTCTCCTCTGAAACTACTGGGCCAAATACCTTCAAACTTTAACTAAATGTTCCTTAGGGTATCCAGTTTATAAATTGTATCCGAAGTTTTGATCCATGGACAAACATGGCCGCCATGGCTAAAAATAGAACATAGGGGTCAAATGCAGTTTTTGGCTTATATCTCAAAAACTAAAGCTTTTAGAGCAAATCTGACTTGGTAAAATTGTTCAATTGGTCAAGATCTATCAGCTCTGAAATTTTCAGACGAATCGAACAACCCATTGTTGGGTTGCTGCCACCAAATTGGTAGTTTTAACAAAATTTTGCAGTTTTTTGTTATTATTTTGAATATTATTATAGATATATATAAATTGTAAGCAGCAATAATGTTTAGCAAAGTAAGATCTACAAAAAAGTTAATATGACCATAATTGTCAATTGACCCCTTAAGGAGTTATTGCCCTTTAAGGACAATTTTACACAATTTGTTCATCAAGTTTGCTAACATTTAAAAATCTTCTCCTCTGAAACTACTGGGCCAGTTACCTTCAAACTTTAACTAAATGTTCCTTAGGGTATTTTGTTTATAAGTTGTATCCGAAGTTTGTATCCATCGACAAACATGGCCGCCATGGCTAAAAATAGAACATAAGGGTCAAATGCAGTTTTTGGCTTATATCTCAAAAACTAAATCTTTTAGAGCAAATGTGACAGGGGTAAAATTGTTTAATTGGTCAAGATCTATCGGCCCTGAAATTATCAGATGAATTGAACAACCCATTGTTGGGTTGCTGCCACCAAATTGGTAGTTTTAACAAAATTTTGCAGTTTTTTGTTATTATTTTGAATATTATTATAGATATATATAAACTGTAAGCAGCAATAATGTTCAGCAAAGTAAGATCTACAAAAAAGTTAATATGACCATAATTGTCAATTGACCCCTTAAGGAGTTATTGCCCTTTAAAGACAATTTTACACAATTTGTTCATCAAGTTTGCCAACATTTAAAAATCTTCTCCTCTGAAACTACTGGGCCAATTACCTTCAAACTTTAACTTAATGTTCCTTAGGGTATCTTGTTTATAAATTGTATCCGAAGTTTGTATCCATCGACAAACATGGCCGCCATGGCTAAAAATAGAACATAGGGATCAAATGCAGTTTTTGGCTTATATCTCAAAAACTAAAGCTTTTAGAGCAAATCTGACTTGGTAAAATTGTTCAATTGGTCAAGATCTATCAGCTCTGAAATTTTCAGACAAATCGAACAACCCATTGTTGGGTTGCTGCCACCGAATTGGTAGTTTTAACAAAATATTGCAGTTTTTTGTTATTATTTTGAATATTATTATAGATATATATAAACTGTAAGCAGCAATAATGTTCAGCAAAGTAAGATCTACAAAAAAGTTAATATGACCATAATTGTCAATTGACCCCTTAAGGAGTTATTGCCCTTTAAAGACAATTTTACACGATTTGTTCATCAAGTTTGCTAACATTTAAAAATCTTCTCCTCTGAAATACAGGCGAGCGATTCAGGCTCTTGAGAGCCTCTTGTTCTAGTTTCCAGACAATAACTTGTGTTTAAGTGTATGGATCTCTCTGAAATTGTACTTCAAGGTTCCATATCACAAAGGGAAGGCTGGGATTGATTTTGGGGGTAATTGCCCTTAATGTTTAGAAATTAGGGGCAAAAAAGGGGCCAGAAACAAGCATTTTCCTATTTCCAGACAATAACTTGTGTTAAAGTTTATGTTACTGAACTCTGAAATTGTACATTTTTTCCTGAAAAGAAAATAATCTTCAAAATTTGGGGGGGGGGGGGGGGTCAAAAAGTTTGTGGGGGATTATTTTTCGAATTTTTTTTAGGGGTTCATATTTTTTTTCATCAGAATTTTTGACATTTCATGGGGGGGATTTATTTTTCAATTTTTTTTGGGGGGTTCATACTTTTTTTCATCAAGATTTTTCAAAATTTCAAATTTTTTTCAAAAAAATATTTGGGGGGGGGGGGGGATTTTTTCATAATTTTTTGTGTTTTTTTTTCCAAAATTTTCAATTTTTCCATTGATTTTATCTGATTTATATATAAAAGCAACAAATACTGATATGGCAGGAGATACACACCAAACAGGGTATGTAAATTATTATATATAACAGATTAACTAAGTATTGTGCAACAGCACAGTATTGCGCAATAGCAAGAAATCTTCAATTGAAAATAAATACAAATCTTTTAACCAATTTCAATAGGATTGATTTAAAGTCTTTAATTTTTGGGGGTACTAACCTTGTATTAATATTTTGGGTATTGGCCCCCATTTTTGAATTGTTCTACATTGAGGTCCAAAGGGTCCAAAATTAAACTTTCATCAAAAACTGAATTATTGCGGCTCTATGATATGCTGAATCTTATTTTGAATTTAGATTTTTAATTTTGGGCCCTGTTTTCAAATTAGTCCATATGAAGGTTTGAAGGGTCCAAAATTAAACTTTGTTTGATTTCAACTAAAATTAAATTTATGGTGGGTTTTTTTTATATGCTGAATCTAACCATGTTGTTAGATTTTGAATATCAGACCATACTAGGTAAATTAAATGTCCCATTTCAAATTTTAAAGATCTTTGACCACATTTATTTTGTGTTATATTATGTCAAAAATTTGATCACAATCCAAATTCAGACAGTATCAAGCTTGAATATTGTTTCCAAACTTGCCCCAACTGTTCAGGGTTCGACCTCTGTGCGTTCGGCGAAGCATTTTAATGATTTTACAATTACTTATATTTTTATAGAAATGTTTGATGGTTAACCAATTTTTGTCTTGCTAATAAGTTTATATTTTGAGGGGGCATTTTCAATTAAGATTTTTTTTAACAAGCAGATGTGGTATGATAGCCAATAAGACAACTTTCCACCAGAGAACAAGTGTGTAATTGAATTGCAGGTCATCCTTCAACCTTCAACAATGAAAATAAGTGATACTATTAAGTAAGATATGAAAGGATCTAAGATGACAAAATGTGATACAAGTTAACTTATTCATTTGACCTTTTAAACTTTTTTTATTTAGGCGTCAATGATGAGTCTTCTGTAGACAAAATGTATGTATGGCATGCAAAATTTTAGTCCTGGACCCTGGTATCGCTGATGAGTTTTACCAAAGACAATCCACCATTTTATGTTTTGAATGATAATGCATAATTTTTATAAATAGTTATTTTTTTTATTTTTATTATTAGCTTCACCATGTTCACCTATATTTTTAGATCAGATGAAAAATCAAATAGAAGACTGGGAAGAGAAAGATAGGATGTTTGTGTCTACAAGAGCCAGTGATTACGTCATACAACGTTTACAGGACAACAGTTGTTTGACTTTAACTGGCCCATCAGGAGTTGGAAAATCATTTATTGCAAGACACACAGCACTAGTTTTACAGAAGGAAGGATACAAAATAATACCTGTGAGAAAACCATATGATATAAGAGATTATTATCAACAAAATAAAAGGACAGTCTTCATTGTAGATGATATTTGTGGAAATTTCACTGCCAACCAACTACAGATTGATACCTGGGAACAACTTTTACCTTGGATTTACACAATTATTGCAGACAAATATTGTAAGATTATTGTATCTTGTAGGTTACAAGTCTATAAAGATAATAAGTTTAATATATTATCACCTTTTAAATCCTGTGAATGTAACTTAATATCAGATAAGTTTTGTCTTACATCTGTAGAAAAAAATAATATAGCAAAAGCTTATATAGGTACCAGAGAGGATGATATTGATGAATCGTCACAAAAAAGTGAGTTCTTTCCACTTTTATGCTCATTGTATGATGGGGGAGAAAATGGAGATATTAATGAATTTTTCAAAAATCCATTTGAAGTCTATAAAAATGAATTAGACAACTTAAGTAGGTATGGTGATGAAGGGAACTATAAAATATGTGGTTTGGCCTTGTGTGTTCTCTTTAATAATCATCTGAAAGAAAAATGGTTCCAGTGTAAAGTGACAGATGAACAAAGCTTAAGACTTATAGAAGACACATGTGATGCTTGTGAAATCAACAGAAGTACATCAAAGACAAAACTGAAGAAAGCACTTGACACCCTAGATGGTACTTTTATACATAAACACAATGGCATTTATAGTACTGTACATGATAAATTGTTTGACTTCCTTGCTCATTATTTTGGTCAGAAAATGATTGAATGTTTGATAGATCATGGTGATTGTAATTTTGTACATGAACGTTTTATTTGGCAAACATCACAAGATGTCAAGAAAAGTGAAGTAGACTTCATTATTGAGATACCAGATGATTATTTAAATTCATATTTAGAAAGGTTTGTAAATGACTGGTCAGCAGGAAACGTGACATTTGTATTCTTTAACAATATTATGAAAGTATCATCATTTAGACAAAAGTTATTACAATACTTAAAACAACTGAATAGATCAAAACAAGAAAAATTAGCAAATACCAAGGATACAGTGATACCAAAGAAGGCATGTGGATCAGGTAATTCTCCATTGGTAATGTTTTGTTATTATGGTTATACTGATATGGTACAGTGGAAATTACAGTATAATGTTGATGTGGATCAGTACAGAAAAGAAAAGAAACTTGTAACAGATACAAGGGATATCATTTTGTACACCAGAAGTGATGGGGTTGCTGGACTTGAGAGGACTCCTAATGTTGATCTATGTAATGATAATGGCATAAGTCCTCTTTTAGCAGCAAGTCAGAATGGACATACAGAAATAGTAAAACAACTATTAAAGAAGAATGCTAATGTTGATCTATGTCATAAAAATGGTATTAGTCCTCTGTATGAGGCATGTCATGTAGGACATACTGAAATAGTAAAGTTACTGTTAGAGAGGAATCCTAATGTTGATCTATGTGACGATGATGGCTGTAGTCCTCTGGTATTAGCAAGTCAGAATGGACATACTGAAATAGTAAGGTTGCTGTTAGAAAAGAATTCTAACATTGATCTATGTACCAATGAAGGCTATAGTCCTCTGTTAGTCGCAAGTCTGAAAGGACATACTGATACAGTAAAGTTGCTATTAGAGAAAAATCCAAATGTAAATCAATGTCAAAAAGATGGTGTGAGTTCTCTGTATGAAGCATGTAATCTAGGACATACTGACATGGTTAGGTACCTTTTGGAGAATAATTCTAATGTTGATCTATGTAGCAATGATCGTGTTAGTCCTCTGTTATTAGCAAGTCAGAATGGACATATTGATATTGTCAGGTTACTGTTGGCAATGAATCCTAAAGTTGATCTATGTAACATTAATGGTATTAGTCCTTTGAGTAGGGCAAGTCATAAAGGACATACTGACATAGTAAAGTTGCTGTTAGAGAAGAACTCCAAGGTTGATTTATGTGACAATGAGGGCTATAGTCCTTTGTTTTTAGCAAGTGAGAATGGACATACTGAAACAGTGAGGTTGCTGTTAAAAAAGAATCCTAACATGGATATATGTACCATTGATGGCTGTAGTCCTTTGTTAATGGCAAGTCAGCAAGGACATACTGATATTGTAAGGTTACTTTTAGAGAAGAATCCAAATGTTGATCTATGTGACAATGATAGCAGGAGTCCTCTGTTATTAGCAAGTCAGAAAGGACATTCTGATATAGCAAGGTTGTTGTTAGAGAAGAGTCCTAATGTTGATCTATGTGACAAGGATGGCTGCAGTCCTTTGTACATGGCAAGTCAGAATGGGCATACTGATATAGTAAGGTTGCTGTTGGAGAAGAATCCTAACGTTGATCTATGTGACAAGGATGGCTGCAGTCCTCTGTGCATGGCAAGTCAGAATGGGCATACTGATATAGTAAGGTTGCTGTTGGAGAAGAATCCTAACGTTGATCTATGTGACAAGGATGGCTGCAGTCCTCTGTACATGGCAAGTCAGAAAGGGCATTCTGATATAGTAAGGTTGCTGTTAGAGAAGAGTCCTAACGTTGATCTATGTGACAAGGATGGCTGTAGTGCTCTGTTGATGGCAAGTCATAAAGGACACACTGATATAGTAAGGTTGCTGTTAGAGAAGAGTCCTAACGTTGATCTATGTGACAAAGATAGCAGGAGTCCTCTGTTATTAGCAAGTCAGAATGGGCATACTGATATAGTGATGTTACTGTTAGAGAAGAATCCTGATGTTCATCTATGTAACAATGATGGCTGTAATCCTCTGTTATTAGCAAGTCAGAATGGTCATACGGAAATTGTAAAATTGCTGTTAGTGAAGAATCCTAACGTTGATCTATGTAACAATGATGGCTGTAGTCCTCTGATATTATCAAGTCAGAATGGGCATACTGATACAGTAAGGTTGCTGTTAGAGAAGAATCCTAAAGTTGATCTTTTTGACAAAAATAGCTGTAGTCCTCTGTTATTAGCATGTCAGAATGGGCATACTGATATAGTGATGTTACTGTTAGAGAAGGATCCTGATGTTCATCTATGTGACAATGATGGCTGTAATCCTCTGTTGTTATCAAGTCAGAATGGTCATATGGATATCGTTAATTTGCTGTTAGAGAAGAATCCTAACGTTGATCTATGTAACAATGATGGCTATAGTTCTCTGTTAATAGCAAGTCAGAATGGGCATACTGATATAGTAAGGTTGCTGTTAGAGAAGAATCCTAAAGTTGATCTCTGTAGTAATAAAGGCTTTACACCATTAATCACAGCGTGTGCCAATAACAACACCAGTATAATAAAGCTATTAATGCAACATAAACCAGACACTAATGCCCAGACATATGATGGTGGTAACGCTTTAGTTTTCAGTGCATGGAATGAAAACATAGAAATAATACAGTTGTTATTGAAGAACCATGCTGACTGTAATATATGCGCCCATAGCAAACAGTTTATAACTGATGCAATTGAAGACTGCCCAACAAAAGCATTACATGAAGTAAAACAGAATTGTTTTAATATTCTTACAAAAAATACACCATCACATGTAACAGATTATGTCAGAAAGAAGTCAGTAGATTATGCCTTCGATGTTTTGGCTGGTTGTTCACCATTACACTATGCTTGTTTTAGGGGAAGCATAGATGTTGTCCGTTGTCTTCTGGACCACAATGCTAACATTAATATAAAAAAAGAAGATGGAACAACACCATTATTTTATGCATGTGAAGTAGGACATGAGGATCTTGTGGGTTTCCTGTTAGATAAAGAAGCAGATACACAGATATATAGACTTGATGGGAAATCCCCTTTAATAATTGCAAAAGATAATGGGCATAAGTATATAGTGTTGATTGTAACAGAATGTGTGAAGAAGGAAAATAATCTTTCTTCCTAACTCATTGTTCTTTGATCCTAAGTTTGTATGCACTGTAAATAAACATACAACATTGTACAAAGGGATATTGAAAAGGACTTTATTTTTGGTATTTGTTTAAAATGTTTATATCTACTGCTATTCATTCTGTTATTTAGTCTACGATTTTACAATACACATGAATATTTCTTGATTTTATTACCTAGAACAGAAGAAATTAATGTGTAGCAAAGACATTTTGTTGATGCTAATGAATAAAACTGTACCAGACTTAGTCACCATTGTAATTCTATCATTACTTACTCATTTTCAGTTACCGGTACATTATATATTTCGTAGATCACATTTGTTTCTACTCGACCATGTAAGATCAGTCTTATTTGATTTTCATGCTGAAAGTTCCATATTTTACTCATTGTATGTGTGTTACTTTGGTTTATGTTTCTCTTGTATATGTATTTCTTCATATATTTTGAAGACTGTATGCTAATATGGCTAACCCCCAGATTTCTTGTTTGGTTTTGTTGTATTAGATTTCTGTCTAATTCATGTAATTTGCACATGTTGTCTATCTCTTTTTTTCATATTGTCATTTTATTATTATTTTTTTGCTGTGTTCATTTCTGTTTTTCTACTCAAGGAATAAAACCACTGATTAATAGCCCCATTGTTATCTATGTTATATTCTGCTATTTCAAGCATTCATAGCTATTTTGTTTTAAGATGGGGAAAAAAAGTGACAGTCATTACCTTATCCTGACTTGTGCTAAAAATTGTTCAACATAGCTTTAATCGTTTATAAGAGCACACTTGTTTCCTGAATTTCGGTAGAACAATGTACAGGTACTGCTTATCTGAGCAACAGGATAAATATGCCCTCTTATTTTATTTTCATATATTCGTTTTATTATTCAAGTGCTTAAGCTTTCATTTGATACCAAAATTACCCAAATATTTTACTTATAAAAAATTTACAGTTATTATGGTTATGCGTAGGAACTATTTTGTTTAAAGTATGTACTACTTTCTTGTATATTCTTTCTGACCTGGCCAGAGTAGTGATTCTATTCCTCTACACTTCTTACATCATACTCATTTAAGTAACTTTACAGAATTCATGATTCATATATGTTGTCATAAAAAAGTATTACAGATTCCTTTAGTAAACCCAACCTGAAGAAAGTAGAAATCAAGCAGCACAATTTGTCTAAATAAGTCATCAAGACTTGAGCCAATGCTCCGTGTTGAAGGCCGTACCTTGACCTATAATGGTTTACTTTTATAAATTGTTACTTGGATGGAGAGTTGTCTCATTGGCACTCATACCACATCTTCCTACATCTACTAGTATTGACATTACAGTGTTCAGTACTATCGAACAAACTTATTTGTACAAAACCTTCACAGGGTCTGAGTTCTTAAAAGATGTAAATAAATTCAACACAGATGACACAATAACATGTCAAGATTATTTGACCAAGCGCATAAATGAGAATAGACTACAATTTGCGAGTTCTTAACCTAAAGCTAGGTTATTATTTCAGTCAGTGGTAGAACAGATATTAGGGAATGCACATTTTCTTCTTATGACTTTTATATCAATGATTTACTCTGGATTTTGTCTCCCTACGATACAAATTGTGCTGATTGCAAGCCATATGGACGCTAACTTGTCTGTGGCAGCATCAACTTTTTTATATTTTTATTTTATTATATAAAGAAAAAGGGCTAAAAAAATTTCTGATCTGAAATTGCGTAGGTTTAAGAACTTATTTTGCAAATATTTAAATGTGATCATCATGATCATGGTAATGCTAAACATAATTTATGTTTTTTGTTATATATATATTTACTATGATTGTTTTTAATGGAAGCACATTATTTATTTTTGTGTCTACTTTGATTTGTTCTCCTTGTGTTTTATATGTTGTAAATAATTTATGTTTTATATCATGTATCTTTGATTTACTGACATGACTGAATGGAAGGTATATACTTTAAAATAACTGATAATATTGATATGAAATAACCATACATTCCACAGAAACATGTGACAGTCACCTGATGTTTTATCTGTTTTGTTACAAATTCTCATCATACTACAAAATAAATATTGTATCGCAGATGGTCTGAAAGGCTATATAATATCTGTAATCACTTTTGGTCTATTATCTGTTTGTCAATCCCTCCAGCAAATACATCAAAATGAATTTTGTTCACTGAACCAGGCAAGAAAAAACAATATGGCCACAATTGACAAGGGCCATGTGAGCTATTGCCATCACTTGGCATCCGTTGTCTTAAACTTTTACAAAAATCTCTGTAGATCTAGTATAAAATTTGTGTTTAACATACAACATAAAGGTGCTTGCATTGACCCCTTAAATGAGAATTTTGCACTAATTTACGAGTTTTTGCCTATTTCTTAAAATACAAAAATTATCAGCCATACAAGATTACAAAAATGCTGCAATGATTGAAATAATTGAATAACTTGTAGTAGTTTAAGTTATTGCCCTTGAATGACTATTTTGATTGATATTGAAGTTTTTGCCAATTAACTTGTAAACTGTAAAAGATAGGAAGAAACTAAAAACAGAAAAAAAATTATAGGCAAAAAGAGATCTACAAAAATATTTATATTGTCCAAACGATCAGATGACTCTTAATTGAAGTTATTGATCCTAAATGATGATTTTTTACTAATTTTCAAGTTTTTGCTAATTTTGTAAAATTATATAATAAATATGAAAAAAACTATAAAAAGCAAAAATTATCAGCAATACAAGATCTACAAGAATGCTAATATGACTTAATCCATTTGAAGACTCCATATATGAGTTAATGCCCTTAAAGGGAGATTTTTAACTTGTGTTCAAGTTTTTGCCTTTTATTTTAATTTTTTACTTGTGAACAATTCAGGCTCTTATGAACCTCTTGTTGATGAATGTCTTTGTAGGGTTTAGACCTTATAGGGTAAAATCTTTAACCATTTTGGAGTACTGTACCTGTTTTCAAAGTTGAAGGGGCTATGTTCACAAGAAATTTTACCACAAAAATTGTTTGCAAGTTATTTACATACCAAAATGTCCATGACTGAAGAGTTCTTTTTTCTTATAAGATTTTTTATGAAATGAGCTGCAGTTTTTAACTTTGCCGAGTAATGCATCTGTAGGAAATAAATTTTCAACATGACAGCTACGACTGATTTCAGGAATATATTACCATCAGAAGTTAATTTTCAGCATCACAGCTTTATTGTTTTTAGGTATCATGTAAACAATGCAGGCTCTAAAGTTTATAGTTAAATTATAAAAAAAATCAATATACAAATATTGTGATTTGCAATTTAGAATTGTTTTTACCATTTTTATTGTTTGAATTATATATTTTTTATATTGTAATATAGAAATATATTTTGTTGATATAATGCATCTGTAGGAAATACATTTTCAACATGATAGCTATGACTGCTTTTGAGAAATACCACTGTGAGAAATTAATTTCAGCATCACCACTTTTATTGTTTTTAGGTATTATGTAAGCAATTCAGACTCTAAAGTTTGCAGTTAAATTCCTTGTAATGTTTTAACAAAATCAATCTTTAATTATTGTAATTTGTAATTTCGAACTATTATTACCATTTTTATTGTTTGAATTATATATATAGATATTATCTTACCTCCTATAGATTTTAGGGGATATGATTGGTTAAAGGACTACACATGGTGACTAAATATATTTGATATAGGGTGTCCTAAAAAAATATGGGGTTAGTAAGGAGTTACTTCCCTTTCAAAACAAACAAAAAATCTGAAAGGTTTCAACAGACAAAGAAATTGATAATGAAAGATAGAAATAAATTCATAAAACAAATTTAAAGCTTACAAGTTGTTATTGTTGGCATTTATTTTTTTGTAAAAAGAACTTCAGATAATGTTGTCTTTGGTTGAAGTGGGTTTAAAACAATATTCCATGGAAATACAAATGCAGTCATCATTTTGAGTTTGCAGTTCTAAATTTGAATATATTCTGACAAATCTGCAATATAAAACATGATTGGGAAGTGCATCCGACTTTTAATCAAGTTGCAACAAAGTCAAACTCTGCTTATTATATGACAAAATCTGTTTGGCAGTGAGCTTTCTGGTTTCAAGACCAAATACTGCAATACATAATTAACATTTTACCAAATTTGGTTTGATAATGAACCATGGAGAGAGAAAGTGAGGAAAACCCTACTGATATTAGGGATATTATAGATCAATCAAGGCCAAGGTCATGACAGCAATTGATCTACTCAAAATGTGACAGTATTTTTTGTTTCCAGATGATAAACAAAGCTTGAGAATGTCCTTTAGATAGAACAAGACCCATATTGATTTTTGGTTTAGTTAGACAAAGGTTGATGTCACAGTGCAATAAATATACTGAAATTTTGGGTAAGTTTGTGCTCCACAGTTAGGAGCAAGGTTTTGCATTTTTGCTTTGGTGGATTTTTCAAATATTAAAGCTAGTGTGAAATAAAATTCATGTTTGGAAATGAAGATTTATATATCCTTCAAAGCGGGTTTTATATGAACATCAAGTTTGTGTAATGTATGTTTTATGGGCTGTTTTTGTATGACAGTCCATATTTTCATATACATACCAGACATTGGCCCAGAATTTATTGCAATGTTTTATTTTTTCCACCTTTCTTTTTGCACGAATTTTGTGATTCAATTTTACGAAAACATTAGTGGAAAGGCACCCAATTTTTGTCTCGCCTGCAACTAAAGTGGACAAAGTTTTTGCTTTTCTGGTTGCGTCAACAATTGTTAAGTTTTCTGCCTAAAATCAGTTTGATAGGAACTACTTGTGATACATCAATGATATTGTCTATGAAGTTGCTATCAGTACTTATCGCACCGCGGGTAAATTATGACGTTGTGATTGGTTTAACGCCGTCACGTGGTGACCCCCTATGGATCCGTAGGGGGTTAGTAAATTTCATATGGGATTCATGACGTCACGTCTACTGTTAATGGTGACGTCATCTATTAACGTTGTTGTGTTTCATTGTTTATTTTTCTACAAAACGCAGCAGGAAAAGTCTCGTGTGCGATAAATTCGTTTTACGGTTTACGACTATTTCAAGGCCTGGTCCCCTAGGTTATGGTCCAACGACTTTCAATTAATAAGCAATTTTTAATGTTCAGTTTTCTGCTTAAGTTAATGTGATAGATCAATGAAATTTTCTATAATATTGTAATACCATCAGTAATATCAGTTTGACCCCTAGGTCATGGTCCATTGACTTTGAATAAATTATCAATGTTGCTGTCAATCAGATTGCCTTTTTCTAAATGTTCTGTGAAAGGCGAGACATATCTCTGTGTCAATAGTTTATTATTTGATCATTTGAAGAATTAATGTCAAAAGGTATCACTCAAAGGAATTGATTTACTTAGACCCAATTTTAGTGGAACATGGGACATTGTCGTGTCTCTTGTTGCAATATTTTATGGTAAGTAAATGCACAATGTTACCAAGGATAAACAAAAAAGAAATTTTGTTTCACCATTTTAATTGTTGAAAATTAAATCACTGGAAGATACCGATTACATACAAATGCACATGTACGACACAAACATTTGGCCTAATTTATTAAAAAGCCAGGAAAAGAAGATGACTCAACATTGTGTGTGTCAATTTTAATTTGTATTTCAAAACTGTAGAGTACTACCTAAGGTTTTATTTCAAAATACTATCTTTTTTAGTCTAGTACATTTTTACAAATCGTTGGTCAATACAATGCCTCTAAATGAAGAATACTTACCTCTATTGATTTTTTGGCAACAATATATTAAATAAGGAGATGTGGAGCTGCTATATGTCATCTTACGGCTTTCAACAAGTAAACCCAACAAGCAAAAAGTCAAAATCATAGGGAGTCACAGCAGCAATAGATAGAATATAATTGGGGCAATATTTTTGTTTTCAGATACTATCAAAATATAAAAAGATATAAAATCAATACCACAAACCTCATCAAAAAAATACTGACCTCCAAGCATAATTTAAAACGAAAAGTCCATTAATAAATGGCAAAATCAAAAGCTCAAACACATCAAACGAATGGTAAACAACTGTCATATTTCTGACTTGGTACCGGCATTTCCTTATGTAGAAAATGGATCTTTAAACCTGGTTTATATAGCTAGCTAAACCTCTCACTTGTATGACAGTCGCGTAAAATTCCATTATATTGACAGAACAATTATATGGACAAACAAACAGACATAATAGGTAAAAATGTTAAAATAAAAATGGGTACAGCAGTCAACATTGTGTTATCATCTTAATCACTGAAAAAATATGTCAAAAAGGAAAGACAAAATGGCATGTAGACACTCTACAGACAAAGCACATGAGCAAAAATGAAAGACAAGAATACAAAAAATTACCATAGCACAATAACACAATGGCGGGATGTATAAATTCTGAGCCACGCCAAAAGGATAATACCAAAAAATGGACTAAACCGTAAAGATTAAAAATATACAAAGACAAATAAAAGAATACTATAACAAGGAAATAAAGTGATAATCAACGTCAGTACCAAGAATCTATACTTCAAGACCATCATGTATTATTTGTTAAGTTCTTGGTATCTTCCCTAGAAAATGGTTGATCAAACCTGGTTTATATAGCTAGCTGAACCTCTCACTTTTATGAAAGTCGCGTTTAATTCCATTACATTGACAGAACAATGTGTGGGCAAAATTAGACACATAATTTCGTTACCATAAATTTCTTTAAAACATTTACTAAATTCTTTCATAGACACACAGATTTGATTAGTAAATTTGACTGTACCTGTAAATACTTATTACAAACGGTATTCCGCATCTTAAAATTTACGGTGATATTATAATACTAAAAGCGCGGAAATCACTATGTCATCCGTGTAAACTCATCGAACCTTTAAACAAACTTTTAAGTTATTAGTAAAGGTTATCTTATTAATGTTGTAATAAGATCTTTGAATATTTTACATTGGCACAAACATCGATTTTGTCATCAACAAATCAAAACATAACTAAATTTGTATTATTTTCGAATGGTTTTTGGGATGTATAAATACACATCCACGTTTATTTTCTATATAGAGATTGCCGTTTATCTATATATAACATGATACATATTTATTGTAAGGTTAAATCCTAACTATCCTACTGCCTGTCGATACTTTTATTTTGGCATTGCACAAGTCATGTCTTCTTAACTGGCTGTCCATGGCGTATAAACATTAAATCCATTCCAAGAAATCCTCGCTCAAACCTCCGGTGGACCTCCTACGGCACCCATTAGTAGTTAAAGATTTGATTTCATTCAACAAATTAATTTATGACCTGTATGTACGTGCCGCTTAGAACACGGCCATATACCAATTGGTCAATATTAATCATCCGTGTAATTTGCTCTATGGAATGTTTGCAAAATTTCAACGGAGTCAATTTTTTGGCATGGGAGAAAGGAAGAAAGACCATTCACAATTTGTCTAACATTTTTTGTTCTCTTCTAATTAAATAAAAAAAATAATAAACCTTTCAAATGTAGAGTTCATAAGATAAAAATATTCCCTGTGGAACACTCCCCCCCCTTTTTGCGCTCTCCCAATGTAGAGTTCATAAGATAAAAATATTCCCTGTGGAACACTCCCCCCCCCCCCCCTTGCGCTCTCCATTTTCAACCCTCGAATTAAGCTTTCCAATCTAATTAAAATTAAAATTAAAACCTTGTTTTCTAAACGATCTATTCATGTACCGGACCGGCAACTCTCTTTATTTGAAAAGAAAACCTACAGTACCGTTATACACATGCATGTTAGTCCCCGCTCAAAAAGAAAGAAATAGCCCAACTCCAAGATAATATATCCCTGCATCACGTGATGTTTACCACGTGGAGCTTACATTAGAATAAATACCGAATATAGAAAGTGAAACTACAATTCAAAACATAAGTCCGAAGGCACATAGAAGAAAAAGAAAGAATTATATCAAAATTGATTGTGTGCAAACATTTGTCTAAGACGTCTGTACTAACATGACTAACATTTTATATAGAGTTTTGCTATTTTGCTAGTCGTTTTTTCAGACTAAAGGAAATGATTTTTTTTGTTGAAACCATTGACGTTAAATTCGAAAATGGAAGACTGATTACACTTCTTTGTCAAAAAAACTTGAAATAAACGCTATGTTCGACTGATATGTAGAGTTAAAGCTGGTTTAGGAGCACTTTGAAAAAGACAACTATGTGCAATTGTGTAAAAATGATTCAAGGACTATAAATTTATGAAACTGCCTAGAGCACCAAACAAACGACCATTAATAACGATATAGTTTATGGTGCAATAAACTACTCCTGTGTTCATGGCGCAATAAAATACTACTGTGTTCATGGTGCAATAAACTACTCCTGTGTTCATGGCGCAATAAAATACTACTGTGTTCATGGCGCAATAAACTACTACTGTGTTCATGGCGCAATAAACTACTAATGTGTTCATGGTGCAATAAACTACTACTGTGTTCATGGCGCAATAAACTACTACTGTGTTCATGGCGCAAGGACCACCAACCTTCATCGACTGGTTAATCAACGGTTGTTTCATCATTACATATATGTACATGTACCTTCGTTTTTTATCTTCACAGTAACGCCGGAGTATATACATTTACGAATGGCGGCCTGCATTTGAGATGACAATAAGCACGGAAAATAACAATGTCAAAACTTGCGAAATTGTCCGTCATTCAACATCTTTCGATCGATTTAAACCAAACTAGGTATACACTTTGCACTTACATGTAGTGCATAATATTATAAACCTAAAT